CGCACTTCCATTATATCTTGTGTCGATTGAAGGACTTTTCGTAACTCATCATTGTCCATGCCAATTTCAATTCCCTTTAGTATTCCATAAGATATATTAGTCTCGTTTGTAAATTGACTTCGATAACCCAGTTTCATAAGGTTTTCGGATTGAATCAGACTCATAGCACAGTCTTTATCACTGAACCCTATTAAAACTTTATACGGGCTCTTATACTTGATTTTAATAACGTTTTTAATTTTCTCTTCTCTTAGTAACCGCGCCAGTGCCATTTGCTTAGGTAAAATATGTTGTGACGTAACACATATTTCAGGATTTTCTTCCATTACGTCAAGGCTTCTTGACTTGTCATGTGTCACTACAGAATTACTTCTTATCAATTGTTTCTTCTTCCTACTTATCACCGTTGTAAAGTCATCATCACTACCTTCTTCACTATTTTCTCGCACCCTCTTCTCATTCCGCCGAATTTGGTTTGCCTCACTATGTTCTACCTCCATATTATCATTTTCCATTAACTCATTCAATTCCTGTTCACATTGTTTAATAATTTCCGAATCACTCGCATCGTCATCACTATTTAATATATTAGGTTCATCGTCTTCATTATTTTCACTCATTTTCACATTTACCCAAGTAGGTAGATACCGATAATTTAATAATTTCGCTTAAACAATTAAAAATAAGGTGCACGTGCGTCTACTTCGGCTTCCTGCACGGAACTGATACATATAAATAAAATTGGAGCGTCTGTTTGTAATATTAAAATAACCATTTTTTACTACATGCATATGAATATAAATACGGTACGTATACCAAAATAAATTTTTTTACAATTTTTGTCTGTCTGTTTGTTCCGGCTAATCTCTGGAATGGCACCGATTTTGACGGGACTTTTTTTGCCAGGTAACTAATGTAATAATGAGTAACTTAGGCTACTTTTATTTTAGAAAAATTCCACGCGGACGTGGTCGCGGGAACAGCTAGTACATTATAAAAAAACCTAAACACGGACGTAAACAAAATATAAAGACGTAAGAACAATCCGCTTGATGTCTTGAATCTGACTGTCCATTTATCATAGATTTCACATTCACTAAGAAGGAATTTTAAATTTTACAACACTAGCTGGTACTGCGTCTTCGCCTGCGTGGAATTTTACTTTCTTTTTATTAAAATAAAAGAAAGCTATATATAAATTAGCCTAAGTTACTCCTTATTATATTAGCTATCTGCGAGTTAGGGTCCCATCAAAATCGGTGCAGTCAAACAATTGTCAATTTTAGATATTACTAGTAATATCCTGCTACTTCGTCCAGGTGGAATTACTATTAATAAGATTTCTAATATAAATATATCCTACCTTAGCTATCTGCTTACATTATCAAAATCGGTCTAGCCGTTTCAGAGATTATATTAAAATTAATATTTCTAAAATAATAATAGCCTACTTTAGTACATTAGCTATCTGTGTTCCTTATCAATCTCAGTACAGCCGTTTCAGACTTTTAAGAAGAATGAAACGACAGACATCCAGTCAATTTTTTTTATTATTTTCTTTTTGTTATAAGAACCGCCTTACATCCAAAAGTTAATTTAAAAAATTACCTATCTCTCTGTCGTTTCAATGCCTAAAACAGTTGGATGGTGTATACGTATATGTATGCATATTCATATACATTTAGTGAAAAGATGTTAATTTTAAATTACAAACAGACACATGTATTTTTATTTGTCTGTATATCTATACATCTATACATATAAATAAAATTGAAGTGTCTGTTTGTAATATTGAAATAACCGTTTTCTACTACATGCATATGAATATAAATGCGGTACACCAAAATAACATTTTTTTAACATTTTTGTCTGTCTGTCTGTCGGTTTGTTTGTTCCGGCTAATCTCTGAAATGGCTGAACCGATTTTTACGGGACTTTCTTTAGCAGATAGCTGATGTAATAAGGAGTAACTTAGGCTACTCTTATTTTAGAAAATAATGTTAAATTCCACGCGGACGAAGTCGCGGGTACAGCTAGTTTACAATAAGACACAAAATGAGATATTTATTTATTTATTTATTTATTTATTTATTCATTTCAATATTACAACACCATTACAGTATATCCAAATCGGTGTCGCAACTTAGTACAGTATACATTCATATATATATCAATTTATAACATAACATATTTTATTACATAATATAAACATTATAAAAATTCTAGATACTTTTGAATGGCTTCTGTGATCTTCGGCAGACTACAATCAAAAATATCAATATCATTTCTGATATTGTTCAGTATCTCTAAAGCACGGGTTACAGGTGAATATTTTAGTAAATTGGTCCTGGCTACCGGAATACTGAATAAAACGGAAATAATATAGATGATCAAGATGTTTTTGTCGTTCGTTTTATATCTTTTTCGTAATACGTTTGGTTCGATCCTCAGTTTCGAGTCGATTTTGGTTGAGGTTCAGAGTTATATCTTATTATTAAATAGCTGCTCGCCACGACTTCGCCCGGGATGTATGGAACATATAGCTGAAACAAACAGACCGACAGACAGACGTTGAATTTTGACGGGACTTTTTATGTGAATGTACTAAGAAGTAACTTAGGCTACTTTTATTTTAGAAAAAAATCTTTTATTTAAAAAAAAAAGTTAAATCCACGCGGAAGAAATCGCGGGAACAGCTAGTATTAAATATGATACATTCTGTTGTAAGTTCATACATTATCGCCTAGTCATGTAGGTGTGAAATTTGCCAGGTATCTAATGTACTAAGGAGTAACTTAGGCTACTTCTATTTTAGAAAAAAATCTTTCATTTAAAAAAAAATAAAGTTAAATGCCACGCGGAAGAAGTCGCGGGAACAGCTAGTATATGACACATTCTGTTGTAAATTCATACATCATCGCCTAGTCATGTAGGTGTGAAATTTGCCAGGTATCTAATGTACTAAGGAGTAACTTAGGCTACTTTCATTTTAGAAAAAATCTTTCATTTAAAAAAAAATAAAGTTAAATCCACGCGGAAGCAGTCGCGGGAACAGCTAGTATTAAATATGATACATTCTGTTGTGAATTCATACATTATCGCCTAGTCATGTAGGTGTGAAATTTGCCAGGTATCTAATGTACTAAGGAGTAACTTAGGCTACTTTCATTTTAGAAAAAAATCTTTTATTTAAAAAAAAATAAAGTTAAATCCACGCGGAAGAAGTCGCGGGAACAGCTAGTATTAAATATGATACATTATGTTGTGAATTCATACATTATCGCCTAGTCATGTAGGTGTGAAATTTGCCAGGTATCCAATGTACTAAGGAGTAACTTAGGCTACTTTCATTTTAGAAAAAAAATTTTATTTAAAAAAAAATAAAGTTAAATCCACGCGGAAGAAGTCGCGGGAACAGCTAGTATATGACACATTCTGTTGTAAATTCATACATTATCGCCTAGTCATGTAGGTGTGAAATTTGCCAGGTATCCAATGTACTAAGGAGTAACTTAGGCTACTTTCATTTTAGAAAAAAAATTTTATTTAAAAAAAAAATAAAGTTAAATCCACGCGGAAGAAGTCGCGGGAACAGCTAGTATATGACACATTCTGTTGTAAATTCATACATTATCGCCTAGTCATGTAGGTGTGAAATTTGCCAGGTATCTAATGTACTAAGGAGTAACTTAGGCTACTTTTATTTTAGAAAAAAATCTTTATTTAAAAAAAAATAAAGTTAAATCCACGCGGAAGAAGTCGCGGGAACAGCTAGTATTAAATATGATACATTCTGTTGTGAATTCATACATTATCGCCTAGTCATGTAGGTGTGAAATAAAATCTAGTGACTGCATGTTTTTTAAAGCTTTCACATGACCTCATTATTGGGAATGATTAAGTGGAAATCAAATCAAACGTTAACATTTGATAGTGTTCACAAGTTCATTTACATAATCGACAGCCTCGGTTGTCTAGTAGTACTATCCGATGGTCGTGGGTTCGATTCCTCGCACGGTACAAACATTTGTATTCATGAGTATGATTGTTTGAATCGGTCTGGGTGTTTTCTATGTATCATCCATCTTAATTTGTTTAACTTATATCAATTTTCGGTTGGGGGCCTAGTGATCTGTATTACAGGTTATGCCTATCTCAGACACCAGCTCCTCACAGCAAATCGATTGAAATAATAAATTTAAGTATTTTACTATAAAGAATACTACATGTATTGTTGCCATCATGTTTGTGAGGAGAAATAAATAAATCATATTATTATTATTATTTTTGTTATATTATTTTTTCTCGACTTTCGCCGGTAATCTTGGTATGTACGGGCCTAAGCCAAGTACATAACAATGTTCTATTTCAGTTGGATATACCATAATACAAATGTAGGCCTAATCTGTCTGTAGAAACTTTCTAACAATGCGGCATGTGTTTAGAACTACAGCCTTCTGTAGTTGGCAGTATATATTAGGGGGCAAGTTCAGGGTGTTTATTGACTGATGCATGTGTTTCGGTATGACACCTGTAGTTGTATTATTATTATATGTATTTATTTACAAAAAAAATGTATCCATGTATTTATATCAGTTGTCTAGTACCCATAACACAAGCTCTGCTTAGCTTGGGACTAGATGGCGATGTGTGAATTGTCCTGGCATATTATGATTATTTTTTAAACTTAAAAAAAATCTCATCTCCCCTCTTAAGGAGAGGAGATGGCAACTTACCCCCGGCAGAAGCACAGTCGGCACATTTCCCCACCTTTAGAATATTTTTCATTGCAGCTCAGCTCCTATTGGTCGTATCGTAATGTTATAGAGCTTAAAGCCTTCCTCGACAAATGGACTATCCAACACAAAAATAAATTTTCAATTCGAACTAGTAGTTCCTGAGATTAGCGCGTTCAAACAAACAAACTCTTCAGCTTTATAATCTTAGTATATATTAAGGTTAGTTTAATATGTTGCTGTAACGAATAGCTTCCTCCACAGTGTGTCTGATGACAACAGCGGCCGGTGGGCGCTGCGCAACGTGGAGCGAGGTTACTACCTCGGCTCCAGCTCCGACAAGCTATGCTGTACTGCCAAGGTGCCAGGGGACGCGGAGCTGTGGCACGTACATCTGGCTGCTAGACCGCAGGTAACCATCTGTCGCCTTTAGATAATAATGATAATTCACACATCGCCATCTAGTCCCAAGTTAAGCTAGCTAAAGGTTGTATTATGAGTACTTGTTGGAAACTATTCTATTCTATACAATACATAGTGTTTTTTTTTTGTAAATACATGCATATTATACTTTGGAAACACCGAGACCGATACAAACAATCATGCTCATGAATACAAATATTTGTACCATGCGAGGAATCGAACCCGCGACCATCGGAAGTGAAGCTAAACCGGTAGACCACCGAAGCCGTCAATTCAATAGGCCGTATCTTCCTTCCTATAAAGTTAAACATCCACTGCAGTGGGAACTAATAACAGCATTGTAGAGGAAACGTTGTATGTATTTAGCGACGTTCAACTACGGATATGATGGGAAAGTTTATGAGACAATCGTACGACACCAGACAGACAGACATTATACAAATAAGGACTTGTACAGTTTGGTTTGTTTCTTGTTTAACAACATATGGAATTATTTGATTATTATAAAGTTAATTAAATAAAAATAATATATAATTTTAATAAGTAACTTTTGTTTAATTTATAATATTGGTAGTATCTAATGTCTTAAATAATTTAAAAAAACCACATATAACAATTAGAATTCAAAATATCTTTAATCATGTGGGTCCCACACATGTTAATTGTAGCGGAATTAAACAAAATAATATAAATCGAGTTTTTAAAAGTGCTTATATTAAGTTTATTTGAATAAAGATTATTTCTATTTCTAACACATAGGCTATAATTTAAAAATATTACATAAATTTGGCGAAATATAATGATAAATGTCAAGTAAGTCTAATGCAGACGAAGTTGCGCTGGTCAGATAGTTGAATATAAAGATTACGATGATTGGTTCACCCGTTATAGAATAGAAAATCATTTATTCAAATAAACTTAATTTTAAGCACTTTTGAATAGTCAACATTTTTTTTTTTAATCTACCGCTTATTCGGAAACCTATAAGGATAAGCAAGAAACTTGTGTGTCGCTCTTTTAAACAATCCTTGTAAGTTCACATTATAATTCGAAACGTGTGAATACAAACTACCAACCAGCACTAATTCATCACCATCGGAAGTAAGGTTTTCACTCGTCATTAGAGTTGAGTATCATACTCCTGAATATCGTCCATAGAAAACACCGACCATACAAACAAATACTTATGAATACAAGTTTGCATCGAGCTAGGAATCGAACCCGCGACCATCGGAACTAAGGTTTTTCCCTTCTCATCATTAGAGTTGAGTATCATACTCATGAATATCGTCCATAGAAAACACCGACCATACAAACAAATAATTATGAATACAATTTTGCATCGGGCTAGGAATGGAACCCGCGACCATCGGAACTAAGGTTTTTCCCTTCTCGTCATTAGAGTTGAGTATCATACTCCTGAATATCGTCCATAGAAAACACCGACCATACAAACAAATACTTATGAATACAAGTTTGCATCGAGCTAGGAATCGAACCCGCGACCATCGGAAGTAAGGCTTTCACTTCTCATTATTAATTCCCTTCACCACCACGTGGGCTAGGAATCGAACCCGCGACCATCGGATGTAACTCTATCACACCTAATGAGCTAATGAGCTCGCTTCATAACTACATCTTTTGGCATCATCTCACACAGCATCACATTTCCAGATGAACCTGCGTTCCATCGGCCGCAAGCGCTTCGCCCATCTCTCCGAGACCCTGGATGAGATACACGTCGACGCTAATGTGCCCTGGGGTGAGGACACGCTGTTCACCCTGGAGTTCAGGGCTGATGAAGGCGGGAAGTACGCCTTACACACGTGCAATAACAAGTACTTGAGCGCCGGCGGAAAGGTGAGAGTTTAAAATATTTTCAAGAAGGGTATATTAAGGTTTTTTAAGGCTATTTGTTCACTGGTGAGGTAATGGAGTACAGTTTTAGAGTACAATGGGACTGGCATGTACTTTTTTTTTTATTAATAATATGTTTGCCCTTGATCTTACCTCATCTGATGGTAAATGATGGCAAGACCTAGGATTACTTAGATTGTACAGAAGTCCCTAAATTAAAAAAAAGTTTTTATAAGGGTCGGCAACGCGCAAGTGATACCCCTTTTTTTTACTTGAGAATCTTCACATAATCGACTACGTACGTTTGTGAAGAAAAGATAACACTTTTCGAGACTTGCTGGCTGAACGGATTGTGATGAAATTTAAATTGAAAATAGATTATGTAACCAGGACGGATATATCATTTTTAAAAGCCGAAGTCACGTGCGTACTATAAAATCAAGTTACCGCCTGTATAAGTTTGTTATTTTATATAGAAGCTTTAGTACTCGAGCTACATACTAGATGGCGCTGTGTTAAAAGTAGACGTCGATATGGTTTCGTTGTATTACTGTGTATATATGTACGCCATTTTGTAAAAATAAAGCCCTTTTTTTTTAAGTTCAGCAATCCAACATCGCTGGTTGTTTTATTTATTCACACCAGAGGACGCTGTAGTAGTCCAGAGTTTAGTGTTGGGTTGTACACCGCCGCTGTCTTGTCACTTATATCTTCTAAATACAACGCATTTTAATGCAATTTTTAGCAATTGATAAAATGATTTAAGATAATGGTATATGTTTAATACATATACATCCGAGAAAAGCCGGGGCGGGTAGTTAGTTTAAAATAAACGAAAATATACACATAGCAATATATGACGAGGTGACGAAGTCTCATGAACACAAGTTCCTAGAAAAAAATTCAAATGTGTTATAAAATATTTTGTTTGTAAAAAAGCTTATTATAAAAATGAAGAATTTATAAATGATAATAATGTTTTTGTAGAAAATATCTAACTTAAAATTCATAGCGCTGACAATGTTATCTGATTGAACAGAGATTAAGTGCGTAGCGGTTTCTATGTTGAATGTCGCATGCCTAATCCTTGTTGTTAATTAAATGTAACTAAATCGATATTTATTTAAAAGAGCAACACACAAGTTTCTTGCTCATTCTTCTTGTGATGAATCTGCATTCCGATAGAATAAAAAAACTTGACTATTCAAAAGTGTTTATATTAAGTTTGTTTGAATAAAGATTATTTCTGTTTCTGTTTCTACAAACATAAACGGGAACAAACCAGCGACCGACAGAACAGACAGCTGAACCACTACACTAACTAGATAATTTTTAATTAACGTAGAATTTAGGCAATATAGTTTTATAATGTTTATTTCTTAAAAAGGCTCATCAAAAATCGAACCTACATCTGAAATGAAGCAAAATAACCGCTATTGTGATCAACGACAATACTGCTGGGGTAACAATGCACTATTCGCTATAGAACTGACGCAGACAGACAAACAAACAATAGCAGACGGCGCGACGGCGGCTCGCTAGCATCAGTTGTTATCTCGAATATTGTTTGCATATATGAGAATAGTTTGATTTAGAATCATTGTTTGTTACTATCTATAATAATAAATAAAATTGAAATGCCTGTTTGCAATTTAAAATTAACAGTATTTCACTAAATGCCATATAAAAATAAATAGCCCTGGACAATTAACACAGCGCCATCTAGACCCACGGTAAGCAGAGCTTGTGTTATGGGTACTAAACGACTGATAGAAGTACTTAGATATATTTTGTAAATACATACGTAATATATATCGAAAACACCCAGACAGATACAAACAATCATACTCATAAATACAAGTCGAACCTGCGACCATCGGATAGCGAAAATGTAAAATGGTAAAGCGATATGCTAAACCGCTAGACCACCGAGGTTTGATATGAGCATATACGGTACTTGTATAAAAAAAATTACTGTCTGTTTGTTCTTGCTACTCTCTAACACGAACTATTCTTTGGATAAATTCTTCCTGAGATAAAAACCATCGCTCCTAAGAATATCCTTCAATTCTTGTCCCTGACGGGCCTGGGCAGTGAACTGAAAAAAGGACGAGCACAATATATATATGCAGGACCTACTGCTACAGGTCTAAAGCACCTGACATTAGCCTAAACCTCTTAATAAAAAAATACATAAACTGTAATATGACCTTGTTCCAGCTCTTGGACACCTGCACACCCGTGTGCCTCTTCAGCGCGGAGTACCACGCGGGAGCGCTAGCTCTCCGGGACGGTACCGGAGCCTATCTGGCTCCCATCGGCTCCAAGGCCGTCCTCAAGACGCGCTCCACAGCCGTCACCAGGGACGAGCTGTTCTCCCTGGAGGACAGCCTCCCGCAGGCTGCCTTCGTGGCCGCACTGAACGAGAAATATGTGTCCGTTAAACAAGGTTAGTAGTTATCTACTACTGTGTCACGAGAATTTTATATATATATATATATATATATATATATATATATAATTCTCGTGTCACAGTTTACGTTCTCTTCCGAAACGGCTTGACCGATTCTCATGAAATTTTGTGAGCGTATTAAGTAGGTCTGAGAATCGGCCAACATCTATTTTTCATCCCCCTAAATGTTAGGGGTAGTCCACCCCTAAATATTTTTTTTAAACGCTGGCGGAGTAGAATAGGAAATCATTTATTCAAATAAACTTACATTGAAGCACTTTTGAATAGTCATAACATTTTTTTTTAATCTACCGCTCATTCGGAATGCTGTCTCATCACAAGAAGAACAACCAAGAAACTTGTGTGTTGCTCTTTTAAATAATTTATTCTTACTTACAATTTAAGTTTAAGTGTGTGAATACAAACCACCGATTAGCAGTAATTCAATGAAATAATAAAGTATAAATAAGAAATAATAGAGTATAACAAGACGAGCGTGAGTTATAGTGGGCTAACTGATTAGGTCAGTTAGCCCACTGGTAAATTCACCTAGAATATATCAAGATAGTTTGCCGGTGGAACCGCGTGGAGGTCAACCTGACATGGTACATTGCTACCAATGGGGTTGATAACCCCACGTTGCTAACAATTCCAATCCTATATAATAATAATATTCAGATTTATTTAACTCAAACAATAAATTGTTACTATTGCTGATTATAATAAAATTAAAAGTATTAATCAAGACAAAACGGTCTACAACTCAGAGAGGGCAGCGATTCTCTGTTATTCTGTTATAGCCTTTCTCAGAAAACGATTAAAATAAAATATTAATACCATATAAGTTTAAAACCGTCCTCTACTAACAAAATCAAAAAATAATTTTGACAATAACAAAATTACAAACTACAAATTACTCATTGAACTTGAAAATTACACATACGCAAAATTAGAAATCTTAAAATTATACTATATATATATATATATAGAGTACTAATTATATATGACCACTGGGTGACCACTAGTAATAATAAAAGCTTAGAACAATCTTCGCCATCCAGTGCCACACTAAGCGAAGCGTGTGTTATGGATACTGGACAATAGATATTTACTTAAATATATACTAGCTGCCCCGCGCGACTTCGTCTGCATCACACTTATCATTATATATCGTCCAATTTATATAATATATTTTTAAATTATAACATATATGATATTTTACCTCCTTAAGGGTAAAATTTTGAATGTCATATTTATTCATATTTAATCAACAGCCTCACAAATAAGTTTCAAGCTTTTAACTTCAAAAATGACGATCTTTCATCCCCACTTTCAACCCCTTACAACCCCTTTTTCGCATTCAATAATAGCCTATGTCCTTTCTCAGGGTTTAAAGTGTACCAAATATCATTCAAATCGGTCCAGTAGTATCGTGAAAGCGAGATAAACAGACAGACAGAGTTACTTTGGCATTTATAATATTAGTAAGGATGTTTGTACCGTGCGAGGAATAGAACCTGTTACCATCGGAAGTAGAGCTCAGTCAGAGACATGAGAAGGCAATTTAAAACGCGACAATAATATGCATAGAATAGAATAGAATAGAAAATCATTTATTCAAATAAACTTAATTTAAGCACTTTTGAATAGTCAACATTTTTTTAAATCTACCGCTTATTCGGAAATCTGTCTCATCACAAGAAGAATAAGCAAGAAACTTGTGTGTTGCTCTTTTAAACAATCCTTGTAAGTTTACATTTACAAGTCGAAACGTGTGAATACAAACTACCAACCAGCACTAATTTATTTAGGCTCAAATATAAAAACACAATAGTGTTTCATCATGTATTTTATTATTTGTATTTTGTGTAATATATGTAGATATCTATAGTAATTGTATATGTATGTATATATATATATATAACTTTTATTAATGTTTATTTTATTTATTATTGTATATTTTATTTATTATTGTATATTTTATTATAATTATAATATAATTCGAACTTTATTTAATATGTTGAATTTTAAATATTTTATTTTTCTCAACTTTTGGACATTTCAACATAATAGTTTTAATTGCACATGTGTTACCTACTCACTACTAGCTATGCCACATTGTTGGGTTGACTGGTAGAGATCTCTCTTAGAGATAAGTCCACCTTTGCTCACTCTGTATATGTTTAAGTTTAGTACTGTACTTAAAAATGAAATAAAGAATATATATAGTGCCAGCATGCACTTATTTGCATATAAGTTCCCACCTTCGCAGAAGGCGCTCCCACCATAGTACGCACTCAGCACATCAGCGGTCGTTCACCTCTATTGTTTAAGATGAAGCATTGTATTACAAATCGATCGATACCAATAATGCAATCCAATAACAATATTGTTGCATACGAGCCAATGTTGTCAATCTTGTAAAAGATTACAATATACCAAAGGATACACAGATATTACTTAAATAAATTCAAAACATCTGTTAACTGAGCAAAGCACTTACTAAACGGTTACTTGAATGACGAGCGTGCATGGCAATCGTTGTTCATGCACGGGATTTTCATTTAATGTTAGACATAGACACCTATATATATATACATTTTAAATAAACTAGCTTTTTCCGGTTGGAAAATATCTTATATATAAAACTCTGTTACAGTTTTTCCAATGCTTAACTGGTCTGTCTGAGAATCGGCCAACATCTATTTTTCACTAAATGTTGTAATCCACCCCAAAATATTTTTTTTTATTTTTTCAGTATTAACAGATATGATTTTTGAATTTGTATCTTCCAATCTATATATATATATATATATATATATATATATACTAGCTTTTGCTCGCGGCTTCGCTAGCGTTAATTTAGGGGTGGAATTTATGAAAATCCTTTCTTAGCGGATGCCTACGTCATAACATCTACCTGCATGCCAAATTTCAGCCCGATCCGTTCAGTGGTTTGGGCTGTGCGTTGATAGATCACTACGTCAGTCACCTTTAAGTTATATATATTTAGATTATACTGTTCTTCAATTCATGCATAAAGTAATTTAAAAAAAAGGTCGTTGTAGTAATTCTGCTCAATTTAAGACTTCATTAATCTCTGTAACGATGCCTCAGGTGTCTTTTGGTGTCTACTTAGCTTGCTTGACTGTACTTGAATAATAGGTCAGTGTGAACGTATTGTGTAGGGCTCTGTCCGACCCCACTTGACCTCTTTCGCTCTCGCGCCTAGCGACATTTGCCTAGGCAACCATCACTAGTTTATTTGAATAAATGATTTGCTAATTCCTATACATACCTTCGTACTTGCAGAGAATTCATTCGTATATACTGAAGGTACTAAATGGCAGGCACAGAATACCAGCGCCGTGACAGTTAGCTGTCATGGTGCTGGTGCTGGTGCTGATGCTGGTAGCTGTGTCAAATGCTGAGTGTAAGCCATATTCCCAACCATTGTATATAAATATTATAGATGTTTTTTTGCTAATTGTTCTACGTATGTATATGTATGAGTGTGTGTATATGTGCATACCTATATATATGTTAATGTACCAATGTCAAAATGTGTAAGTGTTCATATCAAGAATGGTTGTCAATAAATGATTTTCTTTCTTTCTTTTGTTTCTTACCTACATGTGTAAGTTTTCAGTGCTGTTTCAATACTGACCACCGCTACTGGAAGCGTACGACCTTCGTTATTGGTGAATTTTCGACTGCGATTTGATCCAACTTGAAACATAGGATAGCTTACATCTCAATTTATAGTCGCAATATTATTTTATTCAAGAACCTTAGCCACAGCAACGCGTATCGGAATGAGTGGTAGAATAAAAAATATGACTATTCAAAATTGCTATATATTGAGTTTATTTGAATAAAGATTATTTCTATTTCTATTAAGAGTAGGGCCGATCGTGACGATTCCAAAGCCATAAAGTACGGGCGTCGTGAGTCGTGATCATCTCCTGATGTGTTTGGGTTCAATTCCGCGATCGTGACGTCACGCGGATTGCAGGCAATTCGAAATCTCGCAGACACCAACTAAATAATATTCTATAGGTCGGTTTTGATTTAAATATGCGTAAGGTATTTACAAACTGCAAATCTGTTCTAAAAGTAATTTTTTTTTAAATCTTGTAGCTGCTTATGAACTTCAATTTTTTTTATTATATAATTCTTTCCCTGCCGTCTAGTTCAGTAGGTATATAGATCCAGTTGAGAAGAACTGGCAAGAAACTCAATTGAAAATACAGTGGACCCGCGGTAATCCGGCCCCTGTCTAATCCGGCCCCCCTTGTAATCCGACATTGTCTATTATTTGTTATTGAATATTACTTTGACAATATACTTCAGAGTGCATATACATACATACATATATAACATAGAATCTTATCACTGGATCTGTAATTTGTCGGATTACAAGATACTCTTTTGTAAAAAATTCCGGACTATAAGCAGAAGACCCTTAAGCAGCACTCTATAATCCGACAAATACGATGGTCCGACACTGCCCTGCAAAACGTTTGTCGGATAACCGGGGGTCCACTGTATATGTATATAATATAAAGAATCATCATTGGATCTATAATTTGTCGGATTACAAGGTACTCTTTTGTAAAAAAATTCGGACAATAAGGGGTCTTAGGCAGTACTCTATAATCCAACAAATTCGATAGTCCGACACTGCCCTGCAAAATGATTGTCGGACTACCGGGGGTCCACTGTATAAAACACTTTCTTTGTAAAAAAGCTTATTATAAAATTGAAGAGTTTATAAATGATAATAATGTTTTTGTAATTAACTTAAAAGTCATAGTTCTGGCAAGATTACCGAATTATTTATTAGAGAAAAATATTGTTAAGAACAATTATTATAGCCATTAATAAAAGTTTAATTCAAAACAAACAAAAGTAAACAACTATTTTAGTTATTATATTATACGATTATTTGACGACCTCGGTGGTCTAGCGGTCTAGCACACCGCTTTACGACCGAT